TCTCAAATGACCATCTCTAAGATGGATGTCAAAAAATGGTACATCCACCAAATGTTAAATGGATGGTGAAGAAAGGAATTAAAAAAAAAAAAAAAACATTTATATTTTTTGAAAAAGAAAAATTCCAAATTTAGATCATTCTCATGGTTGAGATTATCATACCCTAAAATTTTTAATTGAAAATATATCTTTGAAATATTTTTTGTTGGGGACCGCACAAAAATAGTATGAGTCAGTCGACTCATCTAACACTTTTCCATATAAGATTGAGCTCAAATTTTATATGTTCTTATTAACATTTCATGAGAAATGTGGATATCCAAAATTTGAGCTCAATCTGAGGTTTAAAAAATAAGAGATAAAATTGAAATATTAGATGTACAAAAAATAGATATGAGCATAAAATATAAATAAAAAAATTAACAAAAATATTCCTTATTTTCAAAGATATTCAAAAAATGTTCGCAAAGTACATAAAATATAAATAAAGATACTAACAAAAATATTCCTTATTTTCAAAGATATTCAAAAAATGTTCCCAAAGTTTTTGTTTTTGTTTGGTACCCCTAGTTCAAATCAAAATCTCTTGAGGCATAAAAATTGTAGATTTTATTTCTCCTAACCCCCTGAACTAATTTAAACCTGGTTTTTTAGGCCAAACAAATCTAAAAATACATGCCTTTTCTAAAACCATCCTCCCTTTCTAAACCTCTCTCCGTTCATGTTTTCTCTGTCCCGGTCTGCCAAACCCACGTTTTCTCTCTCCCCATTTGCCAACCCCTTTCTGTATTTCCCCCTTTTTCTCTCCCATGTCTCTCACTCTCGCCCTCTTCCCGTGCTCCCCCAACTCTTTCTCTCCCCTATGTGATAGACAAATTGCCTAACCCAACTAATAATCAATTTGATAGATAAATTGCATAACCCAATTTGATTGCCAACGCATCTGAAAGCTCCAATTTGACTGCCAACCCATCTAGAAGAACATGATGTATTTTGGGAACCTTTGAAAGCTCAGAGAATCTCTTTTGAAAACCATATTTATACTAGTTCTTGAAAATATTTACTGATGTCCATTGAAGCTTTGTACTCCATCTCTATTCCCCATATAAATTTAAAGGAAAATTACAGAAACCCCCCTCAAATGAACTATCTATGTAAATTACCCCTACACCAATTTTTTCTCACTTTTTTCTTCCAAGTAAGCTTTTCTCTTAAAAACCCCACGAACCCAAAATACTGTCAAATAAGACTAAAATACCCTCATTTCCTCTCACACGACTTCTCTCTCCTAATTCCCATTTTCTATTTACCCCGTTTCTCTCTACCTCTTGTTTCCCTATGTTTTTACCCAAGCAGGAAAAAATGGTTTTTTACCCAGGGTTTGTTCTCACCCACAGCCCATCTCTCGGTCTCTCTCCGACCCGATCTCCCACCTCTCACGTTCCCTCTCCATCTCTCTGTCCCTCTCTCTCTCTCTTTGAAGGAACATTGGAGCAACCTCTCTACCACGCAGAGAAGGCCCTAGCTCTCTACCTCACTCTACAAAAGAGACCACGAAACTCTGGGTTCTCTATAAAGGCCCGATCTATGGGGGTTTTGCCTCTTTCGGGTACATGACTGTTCCTCGTTCTTTCTCTTTTAATTTTTTTTTTTTTTTGACCTTATTATTTTGTGCAATCCCATATCAGTATTAGCTCAACATCTTCTAAAAAGAAATTAAAAATCAGAATGATTTCTTGTATGATGAATGTAGCTCAGTTCGGCCTTTCTATCTAAACATTAACATATCGTTGTGGATATTTTCATGAATTTGTTTAATTTTTTTTTTTTTATTGGGATTTGTCAAGTACAATTAAGTATTATCTCAATGCTTTACTGCATTGTACATCTGAAATTACAGCATGTTCTGGGCTTCGAATTCTTCATACACTGTTTATTTATCTCGTTTGTTGATGTATTATTTTGATTGATTTCATTTTCTTCATGTTCACCAATCTAAGCATTTTTTAATGGGTTTGGCGTTCTATTATTATATGTTCTAGCATTTTATACTTCATCAAAATGCTTTAGGTCAAATTACTTACATTTTTTGGGCTATTTTATAGTTGCAAATTGATATATCTACAAATTTTATGTTATTTAAATGGAGGGCTTGAAATCTGAATTCTGCAAAGGCATGTCAATGTTGGAACCTAAAATCTTCATCCATTTGGAAATGAACATTTATTTCTATTATACATGTTATGCCCAAATCATCATGTTATTGATTTATTGTAAGGTAGCATTGTTCATTTATTTGTAAATTTTATTGTTGTGTTTCTTATACTTAAACCTGCTATATTTTTTGGTTTATTATTACCTACTACCTTTGGATATTTATCCTTTATTCAAGTTCTTTTGTTTGATATATCATGTTCATGCTTGGTGTGCATTGTGTTTATATTGGGATGTTAACAGTCAAGAAATGGTTAAAGAAACAATTAGGTAGTAAAAAATATCTAATTTAATGATAACCCACTTGTTCTTTGTTGGTTTCTATATTCCACAATTGGTCCCTTATCATGTTAACCATTTATCTGAGCAATTTGCATCGCCATACTTATTTGGGGATGGAGATCCATAAAATTGTAACCTCAAATGTTGTAATCTTTCTCAGTTTCCTTTATCTTCATGATATATTCTAGTTTTGTCAAAAAGTCATTAGTTTTGTATTCAGCTGATAATTGGGTTTGTTTATCTATAGAGTGTAAATTATTACAAATCTTGTGCTGAAAAGAAAAAAAAGAGTGATAGCAGATTGATTTATTCTATTTTTGGTGGAGAAGTCCAATCAAATGTTGATGGGACTTTTGATTATATTAGTGGTGATGCATGTACATTTATGATTGAAAGTAGAACTAAGTTAGATGACCTACGAAAATACGTAGCAGAATGTTTCTCGCTAGATATACAGTTGGTATCATTGGGGTATTTTGCCCTAGGAAATAAAAGATTTTTTCTGAATGTATTAATTGACGATGACATTGAGAGGATGTTGAACGCACATGAAAGAGAGAATAATATCTTCGTTTATGTATTTAATGGGAGTGAACAAAGGGGTGGAAGTACAACACATAATAATAAGGCATTCGAAGAGATCAGACCCGCTCTTAAATTTAATTTGTTGCTCTCTGGTTCTAAACAAAGCAATGCACCAAGGTTGCTTAGTTCATGGGAGGATGTACTTATTGGTATAGGGCAACAATTTGAGTATCTAGATGACTTCCGAGAAGCCCTTAACAAGTTTGCTATAACACATCATTTTACTTGCCGTCTTGTTAAAAACAAGGAGTACCGCTTAAGGGCAAAATGCAAGGGTGATGGATGCAAATAGGAAATATATGCTTCAAAATTAGGCAGGATGAATGTTTTTAACATCAAAACATGAAAAAGAGAACGCTCATGTAATATAGGAACAAGCAATGATGTATAGAGAAGAGTGTCACAAAAATTTATTTATTTTTTAATCAAGGATAAATTAAGTGACACTGCGCATTACAAGGCTAAAAAAATCATGAATGATTTATCTCGAGATTATAGGCTACAAATACCCTATTACAAGGATTGGCGAGGGAAAGAAATGGTCATCAAAGACATATATGGTTCGCAAAATGAGGCATACAACCAGTTACCTACATATGTCGACCGTGTGATGGAGACGAATCCTGATAGTTATGCGACATGACAAGTATGGCAAGATGGTAGATTTCATCGAATGTTCATAAGCTTTTATGGCTCAATACATGGCTTCAAAAGTGGATGTCGTCCACTATATTTCTCGATGGGACATCACTAAAGGCACAATAACTTGAAACTTTACTTACTGTCAACTCACTCGATGGGAAAGAACAAATTTTCATGTTGTATTCGCTATTGTGGATGTCGAAAGTATCGACAACTGGGTATGGTTTATGGAATCTCTAAATATTGCTATTGGAATAGATCCTAAAATTATTTTTTGTCTGATAGACACCTCGGTCAAGTTGATATTGTTAATCGAGTTTTTGAGAATGCCCATCATGCCTTCTGTGAGCGTCATTTAACGGAGAATTTCATTTCTAAGCATTGGTGAAATGGCTCCAACACTATACGATGTGTGGCAAATATTAAGGATACCCGTGACAGGTGAGCATGTAACAGACATCAGGCCTGAAGACTATGTTGCGTTGGTCAATGAGTATCTGGGAGATTGCCCTAAAGATGTCACCCTGATGCGTCTCAAACATATATGGTTGAGGAGTCAATTTGCCCAACTACCAAAAAAGCCGACCAAATTACAACTCACGCAACACACACGAGCATATCTCCTTTATTTACTCAGCACAACTATATTTTCCGACTCATCTAAAAGATCGACGCTTTCAATATACTTACAATTGTTTTGAGAATTTTATGAGGCAGGGAAGTATGCATGGGGTGCTGCGGCGCTTGATTTTTTATATTGTTCGTTGTCTAAGGTCACCGGTGGGGAAAATAATCATTTTAATGGGTCAGCAACATTCCTACAGGTATTTCTCACTCTCTTTATTATTTAATTTCAGAATATTACAATTTTTCACTATCTTTGGCTTCTTACTTTTTACTTCTTCTACAGTGTTGAATCTATGAGCATTTTCGAGCTTTAGTCAGCATGCCTACATTGGTCATAAGCCTAGGAATGCCTAAGGCTTGCATGTGGAAGAAACAAGCATGCCACAAAAACATCTCATTTGATAACATCTCGTTTGATATGGTTAGTTATTGGCTTATGTGATTATAATCTAGTAGATAATCAATCTGTGGTAAGTTATTTGATAATGTCTCATGCTTATTTTGTAGGTGACTTGACAACCATATGAGGAGTCACATGAAATTGCAGAGTACTTCATCTGTCAATCATACATCATCAGTTTCAACATTGCAAAGTACTATATACGAGATTGCATGTTGCGACAATTTGGGGAGTTGCAAGGTATTCATGTTATGCCACCCAAGTGGGATAGGAGAGAAAAGGTCAGTTTACACCCCACAAATTGGATTGTAGAATTGGGTAGGCAGATAAAAGATTGGAAAACACCAAAACGTAATGTTGTTAAGGCAGCTGTACATAAATCTGGTGGAGTACAACACGCTCCGGCAGCGTCACCACCCGCTTCGGCATTGTCACAACGCGCTCCAGCAGCGTCACCACATGCTCCGGCAATGTGTTGTTATACCATGGTACTCTGGCAATCTCACTAGGCGCTCCGACAGTCTGACTAAGCGCTCTGACAACACACTCCGGCGATGTAGGACCGTGCTCCGGCAATAAAGCTTCTGGAGCCACAGCGCTTCGACAATGTAGGACCAAGCTCCGGCAATGAAGATTCTGGAGCCACAACGCTCCGGCGATGTAGGACCACGCTCCGGCAATGAAGCTTCTGGAACCACAGCGCTCCAACGATGTAGGACCACGCTTTGGCAATGTAGCTTCTGGAGCCGCAGCGCTCCGGTGATTAATGACAACACTCCGGCAATGAAGCTCCTAGAGCCATGGCACTCAGATGATGGAAGACTGCACTCCGGCGCTAAGGATGCTCGCTCCGACATTTAATATGTGTGCTCTGGCAATAGGTTATGACCCTGTGCGCTCTGGCATAAGTAGAACAACGCTCTGATAGTGGGACTACACGCTCCAGCAGTCTGCTCAGACAACGGAGTCTCTGGAGCCGCAGCGCTCCGGTAATATACCACCGTGCTCCGGCAGTGATTCTTGACATTTCACTACGACAGTATTGTACTGCACTTCGGCACTGCTTTACTTGGGATCCGCATACTGAATTGGCTTGTACGAGAAAGGCATTTCTGTCAAAAAATTGTTAACTTTTTACCTCGGGGGGGTTTTTGTGAGGAAAGGTTGTCTAGGGAAAAAAAGTGTGAGAAAAGTTTGGGCTGGGGGTAAGTTACATAAATAGTTCATTTGAGGGGGGTTTTTGTAATTTTTCCTAATTTTAAATGTTTATGTTGCAGAGAAAGAGTTAGGTGTGAGGAGGGAGTGGGAGATAGGGGGAGAGAAAAGGAATTGGAAACACATAAAGAGAGAGAGGACATGGAGAGAAAAAATAAGGGGAAGTATAAGAGCAGGAGGGGGTTTGGGAGAGAGATTGGGAAGAGGGAGAGTGAGAGACAAATTGGGAAGCTAGCACGAGAAGAGAGAGTGAGAGACAAGGGGAGAGAAAAAAAATGGGGAATACGAAAAGAGAGCGGACTGGGAGAGAAAAAATAGTGGAATACAGAAAGAAAGAAATAACCGGGAGAGAAAAAATAAGGGAATACGGAGAGAGAGAGAGAGAGGGGTTGGGAGATGGGAGAGAGAGAATGGGAAGAGAGAGGGGGTCTAAAAAAGTTACATTTTTAAGTTTGACAGGAGGAGAGAGAGAGTGAAAGACACAAGAAGAGAGAGAAAGAGAGAAGTTTGGGGTATATAAGTGAAGAAAGAGAAATGATTGGATTTAAAAAAAGTACGTCTTTCTCATATTTGTTTAGGTTAAAAAATAGGTTTAAAGTAGCCAAGGGATTAGAATATATCTTTTAAAATTATGGGTTTATCAAGAAATGAAGTCTAAAAATATGAGATATGGAGATATTTCCCCATTCAAATAATAGAGAGGATATTTACGTACGTTTCACAAACCTAAATCTTGAACCATTTCATGGAAGGGTGTCCTTTTTCTAAAAAGGACGCGGTTAGCAAGGGGGCCAAGCCCGCACATGTAGAAATGCAGCGTTTCTTAATAATCTATTTTTTAGATGGATTTTTGGACTTAATTTTTAAAGACATAATCTCTAACATGGAGATCATGAATATGAATAAATAAATAAATTTTAAAAACTAAAAATAATAATTCCATTAAGAAAACATTTGAATTGTTATTTTCCTTTGTTTTTAGATGGACCATCTACTTGCATCCATCTTTAAAATAGATGCTTTACACTCCTAGACCACATATGTAGAAATGCAATCCAAGCCGCATGAAACAATTTTCCTTCTAAAAAATAGTAATAAAAAATAAAAATAATAAAATAATGACCTGGTTTTTATGAGTCCCCCGACTCATACTATTTTCATGTGGGCTCCCTTGAACACTCATTATTTGTATCGATATTAGATCCAAATTTGTAGTGATCCATGACCTACACTATGATGATCATGAATGTAAAAATATAAAATATAATAAAATAAAGTTTTAAAATATTTTTATTAGAATATTTACCTATCCATTGGATAGGAGTCTTTAGTTGTGGATGTTGATCTTAAAGCTGGACGTTTGTGATTGTGCGGGCTAGCTGACTCAAAAAACACTTCTTCATAAAATGAACGTTGCAATTCAGTTGGTTATAAATTTCAAACCAACGGGGTCTTAGATAAAAATTAAAAATAAAAAATAAAAAAATATATCAGATGTACTTTACTTGGTTATAATCTTGAAACAAACTGCTCCTTTCATGGCACCACGCAAAAAATTGACCCCAGTTTTGCTTGATTTTGAGGTGGACTTCTCATTGATTTTATAATGAAAAGCCAGGCATTTATTTTAGGCGTAGAAACCAGAAAGGGGAATAAACCATGATGTCAACAATCAAGGGGCTCGTAGAATGTCAACAATCAAGGGCATAAACCCACTGCATTATTTCCGGAGATTTATGGGCATGACATTTTTGCTAGGGGTCGAAACCGGTTTCATCAAAATGGAAGTTCTTGCATTGATTAATGGCAGTTTCAAGAGCATCTTTTTCTAACCTTTTTTTTTTTCTTTTAAGGATTGTATACAATGAGACCATTTACCTTTGACATGAGATAGTTATAATTACTTATAACCATCTAATGTGAAATCTGATAGCTTAGGTATATTACAAAGTTCGAGAATACTGTCTTAAACTTGTTTTTCTTGTAAACGGATTCTGTTTTTGTACCCATATATGATACACATCATATTTGGAGACCTGAATACTTCTTAGTATCTATATCCACACAAAACACAAATCACAAATACTGGTGGTGCTCTTTATACGATGTGACACTGCAAGCACGTGCACACACACACGAGAGAGAGAGAGAGTCCTTGTTCATTTGCAAGCATCTTGCTGAAAGATTCAAAGAAAGAAAGCAAACAAAACTTGTCAGAGAAAACAATTCCAATAATGTCATACATCAAGAAAGCATTCATTGAACACAATAAAACCCACATCTTATAAGCAAACTAATTATAAACATCTTGCACAACCTTTATTGTTTTCTTTCTCTTTTGTTTCTTTTTCCTTCTTTCCTCGTGCGAACCAGGTGCCCATGAACCCCCTATGAAACACTAACATTTCCATTACACATTGTATGAATTCATGAATGGTGAACAATGCAACAACAATGCATTGTATCACAGGTAATGAACAGTGAACATTGACCAATAGCCGGGAGACTCTCCATCATCAAGAACTATGGTTGATCTCCATTTTTCGTCAACAGGAACAGATGGTTGATGTCCCTATGCTTTGCTGATGTACTATTCATTGGTAGCATATGGTAAAATTACCCTTCGATGTACATTTAGGGTGTAAATTTGTACAGGAAGCTATATGACATTAACATAAAGGACATGAATATTAAGACAGTAAATGAGGGGAAGGACTTACCAAGACTACCTACATAACGTAAAACCTATTACAAAGGACTTAGTAGAGCATGTTCCCCTAGGCTGTCTTGATGTTTTCATCCTTTTGAAGCCAGTAGTTTACCAGAAAGGAGTCAAAAATTATCTGCGCCAATGTTGTATATTCTCAAAACATACAAGAGAAATACACTAATTAAAGGGCTTTCCACAGGCAGATGCACATACACACAGTACACACACACACACACAGGGTTGTGCTACCTGGTTAATATGTGCAGCAACACAAGGCAAAACCAGCAATCCTGGTTCACCAAGCGCTCCTCCGAGTTGCTCCACAACTGCTACCATAACTGGGAGAGTTTTCTACAGAACCGTATTTCTGTCAGCTCTCATATATTAAACATATGCTTCATATCAGATTTCTTTTGGCATATTTGTGTAAAATATGTACATACAAGTAATTCGTATATGAACTCTATTTCATCATAATTCATTGGTCATCCATATCTTAGTGCACATGGTTCATTTAGTCATAATGCAGTTCAAAATTACGCATTTGTAAACTGATTGAACAGTAGAATTACAAATTGGATTTCCTTAAGGATGCAACTGTGCTGGACTAGTGCACAGGCTTAGCAAGCCTGGCCAGACACCAGCTGGGTCTGGGTGCTTGGACCAGTCCAGGCTGAGCATGATGTCTAGGGCCCGCAGATGTAGCAGGTCAGACCCAAGTCTCAACACCCAAGGAGCCTTTATATAACCTAACGGGCCAAACTCTGACCCAGCAGATTACTCTCACTCTCTCTCTCTCTCTCTCTCTCTCTCTCTCTCTTCATTTGTTACCTAATTCATTTAGAGGTTATCACTCTTTCTTTCTGACATTTTTATCTTCTATATAAGATTCTAATCATCTAATCTCTTCTTTATTTATTTATAGTTAGATATTCAATTTGATTTGATATTTATATTATCCCTTCTATATTTCCTTCTAAGTTGGCATGAAATTCAATTTCAAAATCTTTATTACCCAATTCATTTGGAATTTGTAAATCGTTCTGTCATTCTTATCTTCCATGGCCGAGATTGGTTGGCCAAATTTGGGCTGGACCTTCACCAGGGTTGGAGCCATTTGGTCATGAGCCGAGCTTGTGTTGATCTTTCCCTTTCTCACGCTGGGGCTGCTCTTCAGCCGTAGATTTCGTTATCCAAATATGGAATTATTATCAACAAAAATATTCTAGCAAGATTATAAGTGATCCTGCAGTCTTTTGAGATATGCCAAAAGACATTCATAGCTTTAGACAGTAAAAAACCTTGTCTGACTCAGGTTCGCCTGAGTCACTCTGGCGTGGTAGGGTTCAGATAAGAAACCATGAGAGTTGGGTAAGTCTCGCCGGTCCTAGTGTATTTTTCCACAGAGACTTGTCCAAGTAGAAGTGTCGAACAGCTGACTTGCACTCAGGAGCCTAGTGTGTCCAAGCCTGAATACGTGTCGATCAAAATGATCTACACAGTAGATAGCCAAGCCCAAGCTTGTATTTTCTAAGATTGCAGGGTTTTCAGAGTTTTCTATCCAGAACATGAAATCCATTTCTATTAAATTCTGAAAAACCAAAGTAGAAACTCAGAAATCTGGGGTGATGAGAAATAGACACCAGTCATGTCCTAAATATAGAAAGTAGTTGTTCTTAAGAGGCAAATCTTCGCACATATCTAGGCAATTATTACGTGTCCAGTTCATAATTATTCTAGGGTTCATTTTAGCCATGTAAGAAAAACATTGAAGTCAAGCAGTCAATCTCTAATGTTTTATGCAAACAACAAGAATACAGTAATATGCCAAGCCACAGAACCTTCTCATCATGCTCAAATTGGGGATAGGCATCCGCCAAAATGACCATTCAATCAGTACACAATAAGACGTTTCCAAACAAGTTATTCAATGTTTCAGTCTTGTACAAAATTAGTTACCAATTTACCTGACTGGCAACAAGTGTGACAGCACGAGCATTCTCTTTCTTCTCAAAAACTGATGCTCTGCCCCCAGAGACAACCTTTAGGCACTGTATTGCAACGCTATTCCAGGTCAAAAAGGCGACATGAAGAAACCTGTAACATATGAAGATAGTTCAATAATTTAATCAGACACTGTTTTGATATTTCCCCAAAAAGACTAAGTCATCAAATTGGAGAGGCTCTCAGTAAAGGTTATAATACTCACGTTGCCAGCCCTATGGCTATAAGGAAAACTGCAGGTCTAACCAGCAACAGCAGCGACCTTGATCTGCTTACTTGAATCCAGGGTACCTGAACTCCACTACAAAAATGACGACTTGAAAAGGGCAAAAAAGAAAAACCTAGAAAGAGAAGTTGAAAGTTTGAAAAAATGCGTAAACTCTATATCATCAAAAGTCGAAAGTTTGAAAAAAGTTTGAATACATTGATCAAAAAACAGTACATCAAAGCTCTCTGCAATACCTATCATGCTAAAGCTTGATAAAGTCGATGCAGTGATGTAGAAATGATATGCATGTAAAGCCAAAGTAGGCACTGGAGAAACACAATGCAGTCAATGCATTACTTTAGTTCAACCGTTTAGGAACCAAAGTTAAAAGTGAAAGTCGTGCAAAACACACCAGGCTAAGGATGACAGAATTCATCATGGAGAAAAATCGACGATTATTATCCACGTACTCTGCAACACCTGGAAGGCCAGCATCACTCATATATATATGAATTATATGCCCAATGGATCGAAGGAATAGCAAGAAATAGACATCACTTTCTAGATAAAAAGCATTAAAAACTTCAAGCCCATAGACATCAAACAGATGACAAACATTCTTTTGCACAAACATAATATTGCTTTCCAATATAGCAGTACAAGACCACAACTTCCATAGACAGACAAGCAACACCAAGTGTGTCAGAACTAATGCATCAGGATCAACAAATGCATCCTCTTTTAATGATATAAAAACCATTTGTGTGTTTTTTATTTGAGCTTAAAGAAACACAAATGAATGCAAATTTTTAATGGGTAAATGGTTTGCTGATGGTTTCTTATAGCCATCTTAAATATCCACTATAAGAGAACAGATCCAACAAGAAAACCAACATCAATAAGAACCGGAAATAGCAAATCTCAATTACAGTACTAGCATAACCAAACTCATTGAGAATTAGCCTAAAACTAGCTTTGTATTATAATCAGAAGAAAAAGATTCCTAAACCAAAAAGGTTTCTTGCTTTCAATTAACAATGAATATAGCACCACCATAAGTGAAAAGTGCAAGTGCCAACTATTTTAAATGAAATAATCATACTACGATATCACAAAAAATATGTAATGTCATAAAACACAAAATGAATGTTATCACTTACCAATAAATAATGCACCTGAAAGTACAAAACCCTCAATTACAAGCAAGTGTATGGTAGTCCCACATTTTAGATTCACATAAATGGAAGAACCTCACAAACAATCCCCTATTAGATAGAGATAAGTTTCAAAAACCATTCTTAAAATCTTTAAAACATAGGGTATGAATTGAGCTTTTCTACAATGATATATAAAAAGGTTTACTCTCACTATCTTTTGGAAACAATACATGTAAACCCTTTTGATTATGCTATAAAAAAGGTGTTGAAGATATTTAGTGATTAAAAGCAATAGTGAAGAAGTTCTAAGACATCAAGATATGATATTCACTCAGAAACAGAATGTCATTTATCTCCACATGAAGTTGCATATGCAAGCAAGAGTATAACCCGAGAAGCAACTAAGCCAAAGCAAGACGTAACTGTCCTTGATAGAGATATCCCTTCTCATGTTCAAAAAATTATCCCAATAACCTTTTCACAAACACGTGTTAAAAACCTAATGATCCAATAGGTCCTGCATTCAAATTTTTGATGCATCAATATACTCTCAAACATCATTAGGCCCTGCATTCAACATTTTGATGCATCAATATACTCTCGAATGTTATAAAGTCTTTAATTGACTATAATCTGAAGTCACAAGCCCATAAGTATGGACTAAAGTTTAGTCGGGGTAAAACTGCAGATGCGAGAGCTGCAATCTGTAACAAGCATCCCGAAAAAAGTAGGTCATGCCTCTTCGTTTACCATCCTTGATTCTTCTAAGAATAATCAGTATATGTGATCAAACTATTCATGGCCCCCAGAATTTGTCGAATTCCTTAAGCGTCATAATACCACAGGTCAAAAACATTATCATAATTCTAACAATGATACCAAGCAAGTTTGGATTAAAAAAAGGTGTTACGTGTGACAGGCCTTAGTGTTAACATCAGTTATAGTATGATATAAATTTGGATGATAGTCACTCTGCCAAAACGGCCTCATGTAACTGACAACAATCTTGAAGCAGATAACTAAAACAACTAAATATTAGCTCTGGAAAAATGGCCAGAAGCACCTAGAAGAAAAAGATCATAAGGGACATAACATTAAACACATACTCTGCTTGATAAGCGCATTTGTAACTCCTGAATTCACACCTCTTAATTGAATGATAAATAAAAACAAAGATACACCATAGTATTTTTTTTTAACAAAGATTGCATCACACCTTACTTTTTAAATAAGAATCAAAAGCTAGGAATCACGCATCCAGAAGAACAATTAGAACATAATATAATCAAGTAATATGCACTCACTACGGAACGCAAATCGCAAACCCTGCCAAAAAGAAAAAATATGTATGAGTCAAGAAAGAAATAACTACAAACTACATATTTTAAATAGATAAAAAAGCAGAGGTAAAATGATTTTTAGGTCTCCAATTCGACTTTGTCAAACAAACTCTCTGCATCGATGTCCACATAAATTGTATTACAAGGAAAAACATTGTTGAGAAAAAACAAATTTCAAATATTTTGATGAATTTCCTCCAAAATTATATTGTCAAAAAAAAATTATATGATTATGAAAATACAGTACAAATAGATATAATGCATGATCTGCCTGTGCAGGATCAGGCATAGATGTGTTACAGATGAATGCCTGTCCACTTATGCAATATGTGACATATTGCTCTATGATAATATTATGTGACTCAACCAAAACAAAACTAATTTTTTGACCATTCCACCTCCCAATAAAGAAACTTTTAATAATAAAATCCATTTACTCCTTGAACATTATTTTTATAATTAGTTAGATTTAAGTTCTATGTTAGAATAAGAAAAAATAAAAAAATACATAATTATGGAATCTTTATCATGCCGTATCTAAGAAAAAATCATAAATGTGTCAAAGAAACAATAGATACTTCTATGACAAATGAAGTAGATTATTATACCTGCCCCAAAATTAAAGGACCCAAAAGAGTAACAACAAGGCTCATCAGCAGTTCTTTAATAGGAACCGAAATTCCAACTCCTTTAGCAACCAATCTTGAGAGAAATAAAGGAACCTAAAATGTATAACATAGTTTTAGTATAGTTTCCAAAAATGAAAATTCTTCTCAGGGAAAAGAGAAGAAATCCATCAAAACAAAGAATATCAAAATAAAATTTGTATATATGGAATGATTTTTTCCAATCCTACAAAGTTTTTGATGCACAAGTGAGGAAACCATCAAATGAAATTTAGAGAGGTTGGATTTGATTCTTTTATATTATCAAAGCATTACCACTTTTTAAATTATATATAGGATTTATATTTCAAAAGGCATCGGCTAAACAAAATTTTCAACACATTAGATGTTGTACTATATAATGACATGCTTTAATAAAACAAGCATCACTATCCATGATTTTTAGAATTGATCGATGATAAATCCAATGTCTCTACTGCATAGTTGAAGAAAATTGTCTCAATGGCTACAAGTATGTCATTTGAATTTTGCCCCACACAATTAAGTAAGAGGGAATTTGCTAAATATTATTTTCATGGAACAACAAACATTTTCATATGTACAAATAATCAGAGACACTGACCAAAACATTCAACTGGTCCCGTAACATTCAATAGTTCAAATTACTCTTTTCAAGAAACCTATACCAGAAACTGGTCAAAATTTAGGTGTCAAACTCAAAAGGTTGTCTTTTTGAAAAAGTCGTATATCAATTATACTAGTGATATGCATGTGTGTTGCATGTGAAATTAATTGTTAATTATGGAAATAAATTTTTATCTTGAAATGATATTTTAAAAGAACATTCAATTATAGTTAATTATTATTCTGTTTTTCCTATTTTTTGTAACTACAATTATATCACGGACTAATATAAATACAATTATATCATCCACTAATATCAATTATTTTTTTTACATAAAATTATAGACACTCCATTTTAAAACTGGTAAATTCTGTGGTATTCTTGAACCCTTAAGATAACACTATTCTGTAGAACCCCTGAACCATAGACCACCATAGTCCATAGGTCCCTGTCCCATAGTCCAGGATCCCGCAGAACCTCTATTTTTAGTAGAAAATCAACCGAAAATAGCAAAACTTATTTTGACCCGATTTTTGGCAGGCAATATCACATAAGCCCATAGATCACCCTGAAAGTGGTATCCGCCAATTCTGAGCAAATTTGGTTTGGGCCCCGATTGCCCAAAAATGGCAGTTTCCACATGCCAACCCATCGTGGACCATTTTTTAATGAACTCACTAAACCTGGACATAATTTGTCTGGGCAGCACCATCCTTTGGCCACTAAAACGGCAGTTTAGGTTGGCAAATACATTTGAAATTGGTAGTTACCCATTCCAACCGATTCTCAGTCTTTAAAAGATCACTTCAGGATCATTCCTAGGGTTCGACTTTGAAAACCTTAAGCTTCCTGAGACTCTATATACCTCAAACTCTTTAGACTTGAGAAATCAGATAGACCATTTTAAGCTAAGAGAGACCTGTAGAAACCCTAAGCCTTTGAGAGACCAGAGAGAAAACCCTGTGAGCAAACCCTAGGTCTAAGCAAGCCTTAGCAAATCTAGTTCATTAAACCTAAAACCTTCAAACTTTAGATCCAAGATAACCATTCAACCAAGCCAACGCTAGGTCAATATTGAAGAGAGACACGGAGGATCTACAGTAGAAATTACAGCCACGGATATACGGGCAAGGCATCGAAGACTCGAGACCTGGGCCAGCTGGTCCGACCAAGTATTATTTTATCCTCTTTTCCTTTACTTTCAGTTATTTTTGTTAGATCTACGATTTTATTCGCATTTCAGTTAGTATTTCGTTCTTTTAGATCAAAAAGCTGGCTCTTCCACTAATCTAAAAGAATATACGTTCTCCTTTGAACAGATCTGACAGATTAGAATTACATTGACCCCCACTCTCTATCACGCTTAAATAACGAATCTGTGGTTCAGATCCAAGAGATCTTCAGTCGAAGGTCGCTCTGATTTGCATCGTGAACAGTTTGGCGCCTACCGTGGGGCAAATAAGAGAGATCTTCAACTGAAGATCTCAATGCAAACCTAACCTAGTCAAACTTAAGGTTAACCTAGACTAGACTAGGCTAGGCTAGGACTAGGACTACCATTCAAAAGAACTTTAAGCTAGACTAGGCTAGAACCTATTCTGAAGAACCTTAACCGAGACTAGACTAGGCTATGACCTAATATGAGTGGTATGGAGATCTTCATCAAACTTTGCAAACTGTTCACGATGCAAATCAGAGCGATCTTCGACTGAAGATCTCTCAAATATGAACCACAAACTCGATATTTAAGAGTGATAGAGAATGGGGGTCAATCGAATGCTAATCTAAGGTCAGATCTGTTCAAAGACGAACAGATCGTCTCTTAGATCAGTGGCAAATCCAACTTTAATCCAAAAAAAAAAAATATTAACCAAAATGCAAATGAAATCCTAGATCTGACAAAAAATAATTGAAAGTAGAGGAAAATAGAATAAAAGAATACCTGGCCAAGCCAGTTGACCCGGTAAAGCCGAGGCTTCGAGACCTCGCCCGTATCAAGAACGCGGCTGTAATTTCTGTTGTGGATCCTCTGTGTCTCTCTTCAATGTTGACCAAGCCTTGGCTTGGTTCAATGGTTATCTTGGATACAAACTTTGAAGGTTACAGATTTAATGGACTAAGTTTGCTAAGCCTTGCCTACATCTAGGGTTTGCGCACAGGGTTTTCTCTCTGATATTTCAAAGGCTCAAGGTGTCGACAGGTCTCCCTGAGCTTAAGATGTCTCTCTGATTACTCAAGTCTAAAGAGTTTGAGGCATAAAAATTGTCAGGACGCTTAAGGTTTTCAAAGTCTAACCCTAGGAATGATCCAGAAATGATCTTTTAAAGGTTGAGAATCGGCTGGAATGGATAACTACCAATTTCAAATGGATTTGCCAGCCCGAACTGTCGTTTTAGTGGCCAAAGAAAAATTATGTCCAAGTTCAATGAATTCATTAAAAAATTGTCCGGTAGACTAACCGCTAGTCGATGGTTGAAGCACTTGGAACAGGTCAGGTTGACATCACGAAGACGTTCAACAGCTGGCTGCGAAAACTGCCATTTTTGGGGCAGTCGGGGCTGTGCGGCAGACCAAATCTGCTTAGAATTGGCAGATTCCACTTTCGGGTGATCTATGGGCTTATGTGATACTGCTTGCCAAAAATCAAGTCAAAATAAGTTGTTTTGCTATTTTTGATTGATTTTCTACTAAAAATAGTGGTCTGCAAGATCTAGGACTATGGGACAGGGACCAATGGACTATGGCAGTCTATGGTTTAACGATTCTATGGAATAGTGGGATCCTAAGGGTTCAAGAATACTACAGAATTTGCCAGTTTTAAAATGGGGTGTCTACAGTTGCCCCTCTTTGGCACCACCTGTTCTTCGAGGGACCGGTGAGCGGCAAAGAAGTAGACACTCTTTGACGCTCCTTGCCCTTCAAGGGACAGGTGAGTGGCAAAGATACTGAAAACATTTTAAATTTATCCTAACGTTTCGTGGTCAAATGGCACACACTCCAAGACATTGTGCTCCTCGCTCACCCACTAAAGGCATTTTCATCCTAGAGTTTTCAACGTGAGATATCAATGAGTAACACAAGCTTGAAGCTCGAGATGGATTTTCTGGCCATGACACTTCACTTTAAGGGTTTTCAATTTTAAATCTTTAAATTTGGCATTTTCCTTGATTTCTTTTAAACATTCTAAGGTTTTCAAAAGGCTTGTCCTATTGGGAAATGGTCACTCAGTCAATTCTGAAGAGAGAGATGAGGCAGCAACGCAGTTACATCATGCACGGGTATCGAAACTCCTTTGTCTTAGAAATTATTTTTAGAAATTTTGAAAATAGGGACGGGTTTGAAATAGAACCTGGAGCTTGGACAGGTTACGATTTTAAAAAAGAAATTAACGTTTTTTAAAACACAAGACATATAGTGAAAATTTGAAAAGAGAGGCATTTTGAAAATAAATTTTTAATTAGTCGTTTTAGCTCCTGCAACCATAAAGCCCTCTAAGCAGTTAACGTCATGCAACGATTGACGGTTTTCTACCTACCCCGACTCTTTTCCGTCGAACGGGTTTGACATTTTCCAGTCCCGACTCTTTTACGTCGCATGAGTTTCACGTTCTTCTGAATTGAGATTTTGGTTGGCAGCTTAAACTAGTGCCACCAGGGAGAGCCGGAAAACTTTTGAAAACCAATTAAATATTTGAAAAACAAGTCTTTTTTCGAAGGAAATGAGAAACCGTAGATAGGGAAAGAGGTTTTAGGAAAGAGGGGGAGAGAGAAATAGAGAAACTTAAGAGAGGGGAGAGTGGGAGAGAGATTTTATAAAGGGTGCAATTTGTATAGAGCCTAGGCTCTAAACAATCAAATTAGAGCCTACCTTCAAATAGTATCAAAAAATGTGGTTTCAATATTGGAATCTTTGTAATAGCCTTAAAATATCTTTTTATATTTATTTATAAAGCTTAAAGCTTCAAAAATAGTGCAGATGGACAAATCTATAAAAACTTGAAAATTGACGGTCCAAAATTGCATTACAAAATACACTATTTCCAAAACTTGAATCCATTTTTTTCTCATGTGCATGCTTATTGATGTCGAGATGATCAATTTGAAGGTATTTGAACATCAAAACAACCTTTTCTAGTGAAATTTTTGAGATAGGTTCAAATTTGATTGTTTAGAGCCTCGGCTCTATATAAACTTTTTCCTTTTAGAAAAGAGGGAGAGAGAAATAGAGAAATCATATTAAGGAGAGAGATTATAGGAATGAAGTAAAAACTGTAGAGAGGACACATGGCGAAAAAAATAAAGGAGTTCAGGGAGAGAGAGGAAAGATCATAGTTGTTGGAAACGCCTGGGAACCCGAATCGTTTTAGGAACCAAAATCGCAGAATCGCCTCCGGGTAGAAGATTCTTGTCTTAGGAATCATTGACCGTATAATAAGAATCACGAGGAACAAGATTCCTAGCTTTTGAGAATC